TAAAAAACTGGAAAATGATACCAGGTAGGGGCTTCGGGCTTCCTATCATCATGCCCATTCATTAGTAATCATAGAGACTAACTTTTGAAGGGAGCTATATCAACTTTTGAGCACTATAGAAGATTATGAAAAATGACCGAAATCTAAACCAATCATCAATTGATAAACACGGTGATCTGGATTCTGGGGTTGTGTCTGTGGCTTATTCATTTCAAACCTAAAGGAGACACACACACACACACACGTTTGGCGCAACATTAAGTTGCCATTAATGCCTTCATAAGTTGCAAGCAAGCGAGTGGGTGCAAGCAAGTGCAACATTACATTACTATTTTAGGCCTTCATAAGTTGCAACACAATACTGAAATGAATCAGCCACACACAAACAAAAAACAGGAACGAATAAGCCACAGACACATTCCCCAGAATCTCAGATGATAAAGAATAGCACCTCGATGGATCATGGATGCAGTGCAGCAACATTAAGTTGCCAATACGGCCCTCATAAGTTGCCAGCAAGTCCCCTAATCACCATCAACATCAGAGTCTGCAAAATACTCTCTGAACTCCTCTCTAGGATGACATCTTTGAATTCCAAGACGTGCATCCTCCCAATCCTTCAAGCATATGAGACAATCCAAAATTTCTGGAGTTAGTCTACTTCTCCTCTCATCCAAAACTCTATTACCTGCACTAAAAGCAGATTCAGAGGCCACTGAAGACACAGGAGGTGTTAGTAGATCACGTGCCATGATAGAAAGAACGGGAAATGCAGTTTCATTTTTTTTCCAAAAAGCTAAGATATCAAAAATTTTTAAATCATCGGCGGTGAGAGGATTTATCTCCAAATATTTAACTAACTCAGAGCTTGAAGTTACACCACCTCCCTGTTCTGAAACGAAAGACCAAAAACTGCCACTATCATCTCCACTTGGAGTAGCAGTACTAGCAGTAGCAGTACTAGCAGTAGCAATACCAGCAGTAGCAGTAGCAGTAGCATTCATGGCAAATTTAGAATGATATGAAGCATATATAGCAGTCAATTCAGCCAACACGACGTCATGAGAAGGTAATGAAGTAAGCCCTAAATTATCGGAAATCACTTGTAAAGTCTTAACAACAGTTCCTAACCTAATCCTTGGGTCCATAACTGCAGCTAGATAAAATATGGGAGGCATATTCTGAAAATATTTTCTAAATTTATCTTCCATAACATCACAAGCCTCTTCAAAACCTGGTTTTGTTCTATATTTAGCAAAAACGTTACTAATACTAAACAAATGACCAAGCACAAGACAAGTAGTAGGATAACTAACACCCGAACATTCCAATGTAGCAACATAAAACACTTTAAGAAAAGTATAATACTCAGAAGCAACTTTCCAATCATCATTACTAACATAAACAGGAGCATGCTTGGAAGCAAGAAAAGCACTAATTACTTCACTATGATTCCTACAAGACTTTATCATGAGGAAGGTCGAATTCCAACGAGTTCTAACATCGGTATTCAATTTTTTTGGTTTCAGGTTGTAACATACACACAAAGATTCAAACTCTTGTATCCTAGCAGGGGAAGTAGTAATAAAAAGAATAGCCTCTCTAATATTTTGTATATGTCTTAAAATTATTTTCAAACCATCTTGCACAACTAAGTTGATAATATGGCACACACACCGCATATGAAGAAACTGACCATGATGAGGAGTACGCACACTTCGTTCAAAAAGCTCAATTGCACTAGTATTAGCACTGGCGTTATCAAATGTAATGCTAAAAAGTTTATCAACAAGACCATAATCTCTAAAAACACCATCAATACTTTGATAAATCTGATGAGCATTGTGAGGATACTCCGCTAAATTGAAAGCTATAATTTTTTTCCTCAATGACCAACTAGAGTCTATATAATGACCAGTAACACAAATATAACCACGATCGTTGCCACCAGTCCACATATCGATGTAAAAGACATTGAACTTGAAAGACTTGCAATTTCAGCAATAAAATCTTTTTTGAATTCAGCAAAAGCTTTCAAAGCATCACTTCTAGTAGAATTTCTAGAAACTTTACCAAAAGCAGGTTGTAAACAGGTTTTGACAAAGTATTCAAATCTCAAATCATCGCCAAAAGTAAATGGTTGCTCTGCTGCAACTACATACAGACACAATCCCCGTCTCATTTTAGTTTTCGAATATGTAAAATTAGTAGTAACACAACTACTAGGAGCTGTGCCACCTTTATCTACGGGGATTTTATCTTTGTGATACGCTTGTAAATGTCTAACAGGGCCCCCTGTGCCATGTTCAGTTTTACAACTAAAATGCACATCAGTACAGTAATTGCAGACAGCTCTTTCTCCAGGATGTACAATACCAGAACTATCTTTGTAATCATTAACAATAGAGCAATGATTTTGAACATATACCCATGAGGTTCGCTTCCGTTTCTTACCACCAGATCTTGAAGAACCTACTGCAGTAACTGGAGTGGCGTTTGAACCAGCTTCACCTATGGACTCCCTTGCTCCACTGGTGTTTGCTGGTCCACTTCCCACAGTTCCCTGCACATTACCAGAGCGAGATTGAGAGTCAGAGCTAGAGTGATCTTCAGAGTTACCACTGAGATCGTTATCCATCTGTGAAATTTTTTTTAGCAAAACAGAAACTCAAATAAATCAACAAACAGAGGACAAAAACCCAAGATCGGAGTCTTGGGGTGAGAGAGAGAGAGAGAGAGTTGTGCGGCCGCAGCACTGTGCTGCTGTTTGAAAACCAAGATCGGCCTCTGCTGATGTTTGAAACCCCAAGATTGGAGTCTTGGGGTTAGGGTTTTGGAACCCCAAGTTCTTGATCGGGAAGAGAGATAGAGAGACGCCAAAAATAGGGTTAGATTGGTCACACACGCACGATCGGTGCCTGACTTAGATCGGCCACACACACACCTGAAAACCGACTCGATCGCCAGAAACTGCGCCGATGACGACGCCGGTTCGAGGAAGGGTTGTACAGTTGATCGAGGAAGGGTTGAAGACGGTGGAAGGGTTGTACGCGAGGAGGGGTTGAAGAAGGTGGATCTATGATGGTAAGTCTGTAACAGTCACGGGTCACTTAGAGTCTTAGAGAGAGAGAGTGAGTTCTTCAGAGAGAGAGAAGAGTGTGGAAGAAGAAGAGAGCAGGAACAGCGTGCCCTAGCTGCCGTTGCAGCTAGGCTTATATAGTCGAGGCCCATATTTGGGCCATGGACCCGGGTTAGTGGGTTACGAACTTATTTCTTACCGTTAGACACAACTTTTGGATCCGGGTTATGCACCATTTTAAGGGTTTTTTTTTAAATTAAGATTTATGTTTTCCGTCTGATCAAACGTCTAACAGTACGCGATCAACTTCATACTGGTACCAAAAAAACTAACTCATATTGTGCAAATGATAGACGGTTCGGATTGGAAAGAAACTCGAGCTAAATTTAGGTGATCCACAATAAGAGTTTAATTCCTCCGAAAAGCACTGACTGATATGTTCCGATCATGTGAGTTTTAATATCCGATGATCCCCAATTTAGACAATATTGATTAAATAAGTAAAAGGTGAAATCCTAACGGTTCAGATCGATTATTACAAAAATAGATTTAATAGTGACCTTTGGAATCAATATGTTCAACTTAGTTGGAATTAAACTATATCTTGTGCTATAGATGAATGTACAGTAGCCACGGGATTACAACACAATTATGACGATCAAGATCGTTGATTTCATTGCACTTATTGATTGCAGTATTCATGCAAATTTTTGGCTCAATCAAGCTTTGTTAGTCCTATAATTAGAATGCAATTAATTGTAAACAAGTTTTCTGCAGTTATCAATATACAGTAACCACACTGTTGTGGCATTATCACAACAATCAATATTGTTGATTTTGTTGTGCTTGTTTAAAAAATGGTCCATAAAATTTTTTGGGTTGATCAGGTTTAAAAAGCCCCTCCATCGAAACCACAAAATATATTTTTAATAATGTATTTACATCATGATAAAGGAGTTTCCAAAATCCGATAGACCTAAAAAATTGTGAGAGTGATTAAAATACCAAGAAAAACAAAATGAGCGATACAGATCATCGTGATTGTGTCGCAGATGTGTAGCTGTCGTATAGTAGATTATAGTACACTACTTGTCTACTTTGGTTAAGAAATAAGAAAAGAAAAATGAGCGGTATCGATTGTCGATTTGTCGTGGTAGTGTTGGGGATGTGCTGCAGCCTGCATGTGCACTTTATTTTTTTTGTTTGAAACTTTGTTTTTTCTTTCCTTAAAAATAATTAATTTTAACTGAATACAATTAATAAATTGATTATTTATTTTCCAAATTCTAGTTGGCTGTTGGCACATCCTTTTTTTTTCCCCATAAATTGATAGTTGATAATCGAATTTTTTTTATTTCTTAAATTTATTTATAAATTAATAGTTTATAATTTTTTTAAATTTTTTACACTAATTGCAAAGAAATTTGACTCATTCAGACATTCAATTTTCGTTTTAAACTTGAAACATATTTTTATACTACTCTAGCAGTCTAGTAATCTAGTAGTTGAGTCGTTGACTAGTACTTCGAGCCTCGAAATTTTTTTTTGAAACTCATTTTAATATTATTTATTAAAATCTTACGAAATTTATTTAACATACAAACTTAATATTAATGTTTTTGATTATAAGTGAACCCCTAATTTTTACATTTTTATTTAACATACAAATTTACTTTATATCTTACTTTCTATAAATCATAATTAAATGGATTTTGGCTCAAATGAAATTTTAATTAAAATTTTCAAAAAAACCATTTGGCCCGAAATTCATTTAGCTTTAGGCCTATAAAGTTTAGTTGAGTTGTTGACTTATACTTTCAAGTCTCAAACTTTTTTTTTTGGAAACTTGTTTTTTTCTTAAAAAAAATACATTTTAGTCAAACATAATTATTGTAACGTCCTGAAAATTTGGTTGGAGACTTGGAGATGCGGGGAATCGAACCCCGTGCCTCTCGCATGCGAAGCGACTAGCGAGCGCTCTACCGTATGAGCTACACCCCCTTTGGAAATTTGTTTATTTTCCTTTAAAAAATCATTTTCAGGGAATATAATTTTAAATAGAATTTTCTATCCCAAATTTTCGGTAAATAAAACGCAAAAATGTGGATAAGGTACCCAATCAAAATTTTAACCTTAATACAAAAAATTAAGTCTTTTTTATACGGTACCGAATCAATAATTTATTTTTTCTTTTTTTCCCGTGCCGTGCCGTGCCATGCCGTACACGTGCCGTGCCCTTTCGTGTCGTGCCGTGCCAATGCCCTGTCCGTGCCCGTGTCCTATCCGTGCCGTGCCCGGCTATAACCCTGCCGTGCCGTGCCGTGCCAACTTCCGTGCCGTGCCCGTGCCCGTGCCTGACTATTCCGGGCCGTGCCCGTGCCGTGCCTGACTATTCCGTGTCGTGCCGTGCCGTACTGAGGCAAATTTCGTGTCGTGCCCGTGCCGTGCCCCCTTACTTCCGTGCCCGTGCCGTGCCGCGTGCCAAAAATTCCGTGTCGTACCGTGCCGTGCCAGTCCAAGACCGTGCCTAAACGTGCCACGTGCCTGGTCGAACGTGCCGTGCCCGTGCCGTGCCGTGTCATCCTGGCATGTTTGACACCTCTAGTTCCATGGGATTGCATTGCAGCGAGGTGTTTTGAGTTTCGGATTATTTCTGGCAAAGTGTCAAAAGACACGTGGTTCCATGTGAACTCCACGTTTGGAGGTAGCTGGCTTCTATTTAAACAGCTGTGAAGGCACAGGGGGTGTAGTTGGCCATTTATTGCGTCACGGCTGGTCTACTTTGACGATACAATCATCTCAATTTTTAAATCTCATCGAAAAGTTATGTATGTCGTAAATCATTTTGACTGAGAGAATGTATCATGATCCCATTACGATCGGAATCCCATCTATACGAATTTTGATGTTCTTAGACAAGTTTTACAAATGGGAACAATGGACCATGTAGTGCGCCAATGCACTATGGGGTTAAAGGGAGTCTCGTTGTTCCCCATCGAAGTTTTTTCGTTATGATCAGAATCGTCTAGTTCTTCAAAATTGTTCAACATTACACGTAAGCGAAAATCAAGCTAGTCGGACGTTAATATCTTCATGATCCAGATGGATTTGTCTTGCAATACATTTTTTAAATCATACTTACCATCTATTTTTGTGTATCTAATATTGTTTGACCAAGGAGCTAATGATATCCGATCAATTCAATTATTTGCTGCAATAAGTCTACACCCACCGCACAAGTTCACCGCTCCACCCATTGCTCGCCTGCTTGACAGTGGGCCCCACCTTTAAAAAAAGCAGCAGAAGTAATGTCGCGTGCAATTTTTGCTGCTGGTTCGAAGAGAGAGAGAGGGGACAGCCACCACCACCGCTAATGACCACCGACCCCATCACCAGCAGCAGAATTTGAACGGAACATTACTTCTGCAGCCTTTTTTTATAGATGGGTTGGCGATTGGACACAAGAAGGACATTGGCGCACTACGGGATCCATGTGGGCGGACAGTCGTCCCCTACACTACACCACTGGTACTTCGTACAGGCCGTATTAGATGGCGCCAAATGACGCAAAATTAAATAAGGTGTTGGGACATAGGGGTAAAACAGAGCAGGGTTACTTGGCATTTCTACCTTGATGTCAAGGCCACACAGAAACCCACTTGTTTGGCCTTTTTTCAACTAACGTCTGTTCGAAGGTACCCAAATTGTTTGGCCTTTTTCGTCCGACTTTTTCCCAAGTAGGGATTCCAATGATCCGTATAGATTCTGTTGTGATTCTTTTAAAAAAAATCTGTCTGAGTAGATTAATCCTTTGTAACAATTTATCGGAAAGCCAATAAATGTGTAGATGCCACGAAGATAAACAAAAAACATTTCAAAGCTTGGGCGACCGATAAATTGTTCTATAACCTAGGTTAATTGTTCTTGCATATCTCATTGCCTAGAGTTATGGAGTTTTATAGTTTTGTGTTTCTTTTGTTTCAAAGGTTTTTTTGGTCTTTAAAAAAAATTCAAAAAAAAATTCAAAAAAGAGAGAGGGGGTTATGGAGATTGAGCATGATAGTCTTTGGTGCGTAGTTGAATAACATTAGATTTTATGAACATGTTCATCCAAATTTCGTTGCACTTCTTTCATGGTATTCTCACTGCAATTAAGTTTGAATGTTAATATATCATGAGTATTCGGCATTATATACACTCATCCATGGCTATTGGTTAGGTTCTCAAATAGGGATCACTCTTCTCATATGCTTTATTTTATCTTGTGTCTTCCCTGAGCCATGACCATCTTTAATTGGTTTTCGTTGATAGAGCTCTCGCTTATTCCAAAAAAACAAAAAAAGAGAAAGGTAAAGAAAAGGGATAATATATATCTTGACTTTTGCTTATCCGGGCGTTCATTGAGTAACCGGACAATATGGGTGAGGTATTATTTCTCTGAGCGTTCGTGTCAAAAAATGGATAGACCTCGTGAAGGCACCCGTGTTGGACCATTTGCTTAGTTGGACATTGGGTATAAGGTATTCTTACTCTCAATATTCGCGTCAAATAGCGGTGGGTAAAAGTAAAAATACGGTTATGAATTTCTATTAATTGCTCATTAAACAACCGCTTGTTGTTGAGGGGGAGCTTGTGATTAATTATCTGTGACTTATTTGTCGAACCTAAAGAGGTGTATCTTGTTAAGGGGGAGTCACTAGATAAACCTAAGCACTTGAGCATCTTGGTTTTGTTTTGAGTTGTTGAATTTTTTGGTCATGGATGCACACACACTTTTCTTCCATGTCGATGATCATGGTGTGTTGCATCCTTCTGCCTTGCATGGTGTAATATTATTAAATGGTGCCTTCAAATTTGGATGTCTTTTTCATCTCATCTCATGATATAATACTTGTGTTAAAACTATCTCATGCTCGTATATTCACATTTCTCATTTTCTTTTAGCATTTAGTTTTATTTTGTTTTATTGAGTTTTACGTGCTTGAATTTAGCTGTCATGTTATTTATGCTATTATTTGCACTTCGATTAAATATCTTATTTGGCTGTTTCTATTGGTCACTAATTGCTTAATTCTCTTCCATTCGCATTTATTATTTTATCATTTATCTTATGCACCTTTTGTCATTCCATGTCAAAAAGGGGAAGAATGATGAAAAGGGGGAGTAGGTTGCTTATTATATATTCTAATGTGTTTGGATGTTGAGTTTTGTTTGCAGCTTCTCTCCAACTCGATCTTAATCGTTAGATTTTCATTGTATTGTGTTTTGTCATGGAAGTGCCAAAGGAGGAGATTGTAAGGATCAAATTCTGGAGTCTTTGTGTATTGGCAATTCCATACGCCAAAACATATATTTTATATCGAGTTGTAATTTTATTATTTTTATAGGCTACTGAGTCTGTATAAGATTAGAGTAGAAAGAGTCTATTTATTTGTAATTGAGTGAGTGTGAATTGATTATCTAAAGGTAGAATGACTTCGCGAATGGAAAGGGGATAAATCAGAACGGATTAATGGGGATATCAATTGGATATCCATCGAATACTACTGAGGCGTATTGGTGGGCTGGTGCAAACATTACAATTAATACAATTAGTTGTCTTATTTGATCTCCTAGGTTTTGGACTACAGCTACAGCAATATAAAAAGAAAAGGGGGGCAGCCATACAAATGTTGTGGAAGCGATATACGTATATCATTTTGGAGAAAAAGAAAAATGTGTGGCGGCAATAAACAAAAGAAAGGGAGGCAAGCCACATACATGTGTGGATTGTAATTGGAAAAAAAATAGCGGTATAAGCGACGATATGCAGCTGGTTTTTTAGAGCGATTCCAATGAGGGATTTTCATAAAAGTTTTAGAGGGCTTCTAGATTCAAGACCGTTGGTGATCAAGAACATTGGGTGCGGCATACGTGTGACTCGGCGGGTGATACTTAGAATGTTGTGAGAATTTACCACGTTTGGATAGGTATATCTGTAACTGCACAATGATTATAATGATTTGATTCCTTCCTGTGGTTTTTACCATTTCTGGGGTTTTTTCCACGTATATCTCTGCGTTTTATGATTGATTGATTGCGTAGTTTTTACTGATAATTTTATGTAGTGATTCGCGTTCATATTGTTAGGGTTTTTTACGAATTATTAGGGAACCCTGATTTTTCAATTAGCGTGATCTAAAGTATTGGACCTACAATCACACCCAGAAAAGAGAAACGATCACGCCCAAGAGAAATAATCACGGCTTATAACCGTGATAAAAGAGAAACGATCATGCCTTTTGGTCATGATTGTTTCTTTCTTTCAATCACGGTTTATAACCGTGATAAAAGAGAGTGACTTACAATCACACTCAGATTTACGACGGTAATAGGAACGTGATGGAAATTTTACAATCACGGCCAATAACTGTGATCTTTATGCATGGTTTATTGTAGTAGTGCGTGCAATTTCTGTTGCTTGTTTGAAGAGAGAGAGAGAGAGAGAGAGACGAGGAGCACGGCCACCATCGACCCCATCACCAGCAGCAGAATTTGAACGCAACATTACTTCTGCTGCCTTTTTTTATAGGTGGGTTGGCGATTGGACACAAGAAGGGCATTGGCGCACTACGGAATCCAAGTGGGCGGACGGTCGTCCCCTGCACTACACCACTGGCACTTCGTACCGGCCGTATTACATGGCGCCAAATGACACTAAATAAGGTGTTGGGTTGACATACGGGTAAAACAGAGCAGGGTTTCTTGGCATTTCTACCTTGATGTCATGGCCACACAGAAACCCACTTGTTTGGCCTTTTTTCAACTAACGTCTGTTCAAAGGGACCCAAATTGTTTGGCCTTTTTCATCCGAAGTAGGGATTCCAATGATCCGTATAGATTCTGTTGTGATTCTTTTAAGAAAAATCTGTCTGAGTAGATTAATCCTTCGTAACAATTTATTGGAAAGCCAACAAATGTGTGGATGTCACGAAGATAAACAAAAAACATTTCAAAGTTTG